ATGTGCATGACTTGCTAACAATTAATGTAATTAATGTCAGTGTTTGATGTACGCTCTGATGTGTTGACTTTTCCATACAGCACACCATGGTCAACATGCTGGTGCTGGGAAACTATAAAATAATGAAGTCATTTTAAAAAACAGAATTGGTTTTGAGCATATTTTTCTGATTTGCAGGCTAAAGTGTCCCATCATCCCATCACAGCCCAGCATCCCCCTCAGGGGCGCAGGTCAACATCACAGAGCGCCCACAGTGTGTGTGTGGCATGTGTCAACACATCAGAGGTTTGGGGAGGGAGACACAGAGGCATCACTGCCGGACCAGCAATCTCTCACAGACCTGAGTCATTCCTCTCAGCACTGCCTCCAAATTACATTTCTTCTTTTTTAAGTGTTTTCTTCCCTCCCACATCTTCAGTGTATGTGCATCGACGGGCTTCCACTGATTGCCTTGCTGAGGCCCTGATTGAACGAGGAGGTGATTGCATCTCATGGGGCTATAGGCTGCATACCAAACGGTGCGGCACCAGAGCCGCATCAGTGAGTGGGCGGGAGGGAAACCCTGCGCATCATGGCACTATGAGATCAGACGTTATTGTATGCAGCAGAGAAGATCTGTGGCAGCAGCTCAGGTCCTCAGCTGAGATAATCCTGATATAATCATGCAGATTATAGTCCGTTTAATGAGATCATATTAAATGATGGCTCATGTTTTTAAAGGTAGAATATTATGTGAATTTTCCTCACACTTGCCCTGTTTATTGTTGGTGATATTACAAGGGAGTGGACAGGATTTATGTGAGAGACAGTCTAAATCCCACGACCATTATGTGTCATTTGAACATCATTGTTCGCTTGTTTGTAGGACTCAATGTTTTTTCTATAGTCATGTTGAGATGGTAGACTAACCCTTGATTTGTGAACATTTTCGAAGAACTCTCGCGAGACTGGGTGCCCAAAACACCTGTCTAACCTCACCACTTGAGTTAAATGCTCAATCTGAACCATATTGTGATAGTTCCGTAAATTGAGGGTTTCAATTCAAAATCTGAGACAGGAATTTATCTATTTTCTTTCCCTTCTTTAATTACCGCTTGCCAATTGAATAATCAACTGATTAATGAAGATTTTGGTTTATTGTTTCGTTCAAGTTAAAAGCATTAGTAAAATATTTTTCCAGTTAAAGCTACGTCATCATCTAGCTTCCAGTTGATGCTAAAGTTGTAGCTTTGTAGTTGGCTATTTCTTTCTGTCAAAGTCTATGTGATGTAATTATTGCTAATGGTACACGCTGCAGGCTATGATCATTATGCCTTAATGTCAATATTATTCCAGGCTGAACTCCAAATAAACGAAATATGTAATCACAGTGTTTTGGTTTTGTAGGTCAGAGTACATCAGTCTTACACCATGAGTTGCAGCCTTTCACAGCACTGCCTGAGATGTGGGAATGTACACACACACACACACACACACACACACACACACACACACACACACACACACAACACAAACACACACACACACCACACCACACACACACCACACACACACACACACACACACACACACACACACACACACACACACACACACACAACACACACACACACACACACACACACACACACACACACACACACACACACACACACACACACACACACACACACACACACACACACACACACACACACACACACACACACACACACACACACACACACAACACACACAACACACACACACACACACACACACACACACACACACACACACACACACACACACACACACACACACACACACACACACACACACACACACACACACACACTTTTACAGTCTTGCCAGATCGTGGCAACGCAGACCTCTAATCCTGTGTGACTGCACAGCCCAGGGCTTCTTTCTGCTCAGCTGGATGAGCTCTAGCTGCCTGTGTGGTGAAGTCAGGGAATCCCTTCCTTCCCAGGCTTCTCTCCTTCTTTATTCACCCATGTGCCCCCCCCCCTTCAGCTGCCTTGTGTGCGTGAGCTGCATTAAAGCGTGTTCATCACTAGGAAGCCATTCTCCCCATGACAATGATAAAACAGCATCAGCAGAACTGCATCTACTGCTCACAGGAGCCAAATGGACCAATTTAAGGAAGCGTCACAATGAAAAATGATAGTATGGCAGAAGGTATTACGCAGCAAAGGCTTGCTGTCTGAAGAGTAGAAAAACAGCAATGCAAAATGTGTCAGGGAAGTTTACACCATCAACCTTCAACAGGCTGTTTATTTTAAAATGACATCCACTTGCAGTGCTTCATAATGGACCTAATGATAATGAATGAACTCATGGACGTTATTCAAATGTATTAGCACAACTGCTTTGTTTTAATGTCTAGCTTTTCCAGTCTTAAAGACAAAGACCTAGTGGATCATTTCAAAACACTGGCTACACAAAGCCTGTGGCTACTTCCTCAGTGTAAGAGGCCAGCAGCCAGTCTGACAGTGCTGAAAGCCAGATTAATAAGTTAGATGTATCAATTAAACTAGCAAATAATAATGAAACACTTAACAACAGTAAATAAGACTAACACATAATGCTAAACTAGTACTCTACAGCCCATGTTTAATACACAAATCAATCTGAGCTTCAATACAACAGAATTTTGAGTGGAAACAGACAACCTTTCAACAATTGAAAGCAACCAGATGACATTTTAATTTTGGACTGTTGGTTGGGACAAAGTTTAGTCTTGTGAAATCAAAAACCTTATCAGAGTGTTCAATAATCAGTCAAAATGCTATACTTGGTTGAACAATAAATGTAGTCCGCCCTAAACCCTAATGTAATTCATCCTCCATACATCATGTATTCCAGCCTCAAACCAGGACTTCTGGCTCCTGATGAGACTTCAAATCAAATGAGACTGACAACATCTTACCATCTTCAAAAGAGGCTTCACATTTCTTTTATCAACTGGATCTCACATCTTATGGCAGCATCAAACACACAACACCAACTAATCTGAGGCACAAAAAAACACACCAATTAATTGTAATGAGGTCAGCATGTTGCTTCATCAGAGAGTACCTGACACTTCTTCTGCTGCACCTCAAGAACATTGAGCAAGACATCCAGCCCTGAAGACATTTAGCAGCATCTCTCTCTGTGTGTATGTCATCCCCTTTAGTAGTTTTCCCTGAAAATCCCTGGGATATCCTGGTGACTCGAGAAACTAGACAAGGTCATCATTAACTAGCAACTGACATATTATAGGAACATTAAATTGGTTTTCTCAATTCACTTTGGTTTATAAAAAGCTAGTCTAATAAAATCTAGAAGGGCATCAATTAATTAAACCACTGCCCTCCATACATATCATGACATACATTTCTCAACATCCCCAGCCACCAAGTTTATTAATTAATGCAAGATTAATTGTTATAATTTAACTGAGCTGCAGGTTAATCTGCCGTCGAAACTAGCAGAGCCAACAAGAGGCAAGAAAATAAGCTTTTTGCTGCATTGCACCTGCCCAAACGCGCTCAACTTTAGCCGGGGAAGTGGGGCTGTCTGGTTCCGCTGCCGTGTGACTAATCCTCCGAGGTCGTGAGGGTGGAGAGACCACTCAAAACACACACACCAAAAAAAAAAACAAGGAAAAGACACAACGATCATTAACTGGAGACAAGCCGTAGCGACTGACTGTGCCATATGTCAGAGAAACACGGTGGTTTGATTCCCGGTGCATGGTTGGTTGACCTGCGGAGCGGTGGTTTCTTACCTGGTGGCCGCGGAGAGAGGCGAGCTTCGGGCGGCAGGGGAGCGCGGGGGACCGGGAGAGTACCGGGATCAGGGGAGCGTGTGTCGGTGTGTGCGCCAAGGCACAGTCTGAAGGCAGAGCACCACATCCAGGGTGTTCCCAACAGGAGGGGGCGTGGTGTGTGTGTGTGTGTGTGGTGTGTGTGTGTGCGTGTGTGTGTGTGTGTGTGTGTGTGTGTGTGTGTGTGTGTGTGTGTGTGTGTGTGTGTGTGTGTGTGTGGTGTGTGTGTGTGTGTGGTGTGTGTGTGTGTGTGTGTGTGTGTGTGTGTGTGTTTGTGTGTGTGTTTGTGTGTGCGTGTGTCACACAAAAAGGCTTATTTATCTTATTCCTAACTGTGCGACAGTTTTTTCCTGCACTAACTCAGATTGTTTTTTTCTTCCCTAATGACCCAATTAATCCGGGTCGTTACTTTATATAGGCTACTGCAGCTGGGCTATAAAGAGGTTCAGGGAAACTCCTTCCTGTCACCGGTCGTACATTATGTATTATGGATTCCCCTGCTCAGATCCTCTGGGAGTGTGTTGCTCTCCTGCAGAGTGACAGTTTATTTAATTCTGTGTGAAATAAATGGGTTGGTCATGCTCAACTTGACAAGCAGAGAAGAGATGGTGATAGGGAGAAACACAATAAGAGGACCTTATTCCAGATCAATACAGGTTGTTATACAACCAGTTTGTCTGTGCTGTTGTCAGTCTGACCTGATCTTCAACGGTGGCCTCTTTTCTTGCTTTTATAGTGCCACAGTTGTTTAGTTTTTATGTAGGCTATGTTGCTTTCTATGTATGTTGACAATGCAATATAATGATGTCCTGCATAACACATCCCTTGTTTCAAATCACCATACGTCTCATTGCAACATTTGAATTCATTATTAATGTTCTATGTAATAAGCTTTGTGTCAAGAGATGATGAAAAGCAGTATTTTAGGTTGCATTAGGTTGCTGCATTTACAGCAGTCATTAATCAACTTTGCCCATATAAAATAAATAACCAATACACAAAAAGTGTAAATTTGTCTGTGTTCATAATGCAAGAGTTATTTTAAAACAGACTTAAATATAAAAATATAATTTAAAATAAAGATGAATATTTAAATAGTAATATATGTTAATAGTGTTGATGTAGAGGTTGTAGTGCCTGGCTTCACCACAGGGGGGCGACATAATAAACCCAGTCAGATGTGTCTGTGCTCTTTGACTCTGGACAGCAGGAAGTAAACAGGAAACGCAAACCGGCGATAATAAAAATAACGGACTAACAAATACCTCTGTGTCAGTAGAAGTCATGGAGGAATATAACCCTGGAGATGAGGTGAAGTTTTTTTCTGAATTACATTTAATTCACTGTATAAATCTACAAAGCTAAAATAAAAAAGACGCCTCGGTTAGCTCTGTCGTTAGCTCAGTGATGCAGGCTGTTTCCATTTGGGTGTGGTCCCTGTCGTTTCATTCATAATAATTTAACTACATTTATAAAATAAGTAGCCGATTAACGTCAGATACAGCCAGCAACAGTGACCTACTAATGTAAGTAATAATAAGACTGCTACTAAATGTAACTGGTATTTTGTATATAATGTGTACCCATTTCTGTCTTTTGTTTTATTTACCCTAACTATAAGTGTAATTTACACGTGTTTAATAATGTGTTCTTCAGTGAGTAATTTAGGTCTTGCATTCTGTCATTTGACTTGTTATCATATGACAGTAATGTACTGTAGGCTTTTGCATTTTTTTCTGAGTTCATGTAATAAATCTCCGTATGTTCTAGTCTTTATTATAACGCTCCTTAAAAAAGAGATATATACTTACCTACTTAAATACTGTTAGTCATTGTACACCTGCTTATGGGATTTGTGCTAGACTACAAAACCTCTTTGCATTTGTAAGGCCAATTTGAACTCTTTCACAGATTGACCATTATATATAATCAGAAAAACATTCTATAAGGTGGATTCTCCATGGAAAAATACAAAATAGAACAAGCATGATGCCACAAACGTACTGTGTTAATTCTTTGTTTTTATTGTCTCTAGGTTGCCTTCAATGCCGATGAGGTCAATATCTCAATTAAAGAGGTAACTTTTTAATTACTGTTAACATCAGATAATTGTATTTACTGCACATTAAAGTGATGAGTGTGCTTGACCTTCTCTGTGTGGTTTTGTCTCAGTGTGTGGAAGGTGTTATTGGTGGAACAGATTACAACCAGAATAAAGTGAACCAGTGGACGGCCAGTATCGTGGAGCACTCTCTGACTCACCTGGTGAAACAGGGGCGGCCGTTCAAATACATAGGTGAGGAAACTGCTCATCATAAACAATAACATGGAGAAAACTCAGGATGCAATGTTGACATGTGGAGCTTCTCCTCGACTCATGAATACTCTCTGTTGTGTTACAGTAAACTGTGCGATCATGCAGAAGAGCGGCGCTGGTCTCCACACAGCCAACTCCTGCTACTGGGACACTACCACTGATGGTGAGAAATGACTGATAACTAGAACTGGTAACACTTTTAAATGTGTTTGATTTATAGGAGGGATTATAATTATCTGTATACATATATTTTTCAATCAGGAAAAAGCAAAGAAGGTTATACATTTGGATTCGAAATGCTAGTATTTTTATGTTTTCTATTATTTTATATTGTATACTGTTTATGTACACTACGACCAACCCGATCACAGGTTTATAACTTCAGGTTTCCTACATTTCTCCCATTCCAATCCAGAAAACCCCCAAAAAGCTAGAACTTATTTACAATATAAATGTAATAGTGGTATTAGTATTAATGTGGTAATATGTAATGTCTGTTGATCAATTTGACTAGATTAATAGTTCCAGCTCTAATTACTGTGTTTGAAAACATTTAGAGAATGAATTTAGGAGTAACCACTAGAAATGAAATACTTGTTTGATGTGGACGTCTGCGTCATCTCTCCTGCTTGTTTGTCTTCCAGGAAGCTGCACAGCCCGGTGGGAGAACCGCACCATGTACTGTGTGGTCAGTGTGTTTGCTGTTGCTGTGACGCTGTGAGCTGCTTTCTCTCCGCCATGTGTGAAGCTTGAAATGGCACCGTGACCAAGAAGATCCTCTGATGATGTTTGTAGAGTATTTCTCCCCACAGGCTGAAACAACCGCACGCTATGATAAAGAGTCGTGGTTTTAGTCCACGGCATTTCTCTGAGAAAATGTGGAATTCTAGAGACCTGGTGACCTCAAACATTCATGTACTTTGATTAGACGGCCAGTCTTCGGAAGTGAAAACTAAATATTTTCTCTCTTTATGTCCGAAATGTTGTTATCTGTGCATAATGTAAAACTTTAATAGTTTATAGCCATGCCACCATGAAGGCTCTGGGGATGGCAGTGTCCATTTTTGGAGTAAATGTAATGAAATGTGCTAAACACACATTCAAATCCTCCTCAGGATACACTGCAATACTGTAATGCTTAAGAAGAGCCGCACAGAGCTGCTAACATGGCGGTAGACTCTTCATCTCGTCTTCATTCCTCTTCTTCAGTACATTCCCAAATAAAACAGATGCCGTCTAGAAATGTGTTATTGAAGAAAATGCTAAATAGCTACCTGACGTCTTGTATAAAGTGGCTCTACTAGTCTGCATTAATGTTTTAAGGATTTCAATTTATTTATATTTATTGCAGATATGCGTGTGCATTTTTCAGTATGATGGAGTTTAATGGTCAAAGCGACTAATGCACTTTTCCTGGAATTATTCCGTAGAAATCCTGAAATTCTTCTGTAAAATTGAGTTAATGAAGGCTGTGTAATAAATAAATGTATTGTAACATCTACAGTGCATTCGTTAATTGTTGCAGTTGTTGCATCCGAATGAGAGTTGATCCCTACAAACTGAATGTGACGGACACTAAAGGTACTCAAGGTGCAGTTTGGTTTTCTGTCCACTAGAGGTCAGAATAGGACTATATTGCTTCGGCTGAAAATAAGACAAATCTGAGAATGTTCACATATAGATATAAATGTATTATTGTTTTAATGCCTTTTATCTTGTTCTTTTGAGGATGCTCCTTGTGTACAATAGACTTCTCATCTTTTTTGGCTCATCTAATTTGTACAAACATAAGGAGCACTCGTTTGATACCCGAGGTTTTCATCCCTCTGCAGATACATTGCAAAAAGGACTAGGTGCAAAAACAAACAACACTGGCATTCTCTCCCTTGTACACACACTATTTCACAATAAAGGTTGAAAATAAGCAAAGATACAGGTTACAACTAAAATAAATTCCATTAGATATAAACTATTTCAGTGTGCATTTGGTGTAAATATTCTATCTAGTGAGACGCACAGACACAGAGCTGACGGACATAATAAGTATGAATTAGAAAAGCACATATATCCAAACAAAGCATTTCACATCACTGCAGCCATTTCTGTTCAACAGTTGAACCAAAGCCACTTATATCATTTTTGTAAACGTGCAAAACTCAATATGCTTGAGACGTTACAGTTCACGTGTGAACGAGCACTTTAAAACAGTATGTTGATATTCACATCTCTTCGCCAAGCACAGACACATCACAGAAGCAACGCGTGTTAATGATAAAGCTCTCATCAAGGAGTAAAAAAGCTGATTGCTTGCAGCCATAAAACTAGAGGGAGGGGTTCAGAAAACACCCTGTACAAAACAGACCCCCCCCCCCCCCCCCCCCCCCCCCCCGCAGAGGTTCATCTGATGCTTCAAACGTGCACACCTCCATGCCAAATAGAGATCCTAAATACAATAAAGTCATATGCATGGCGCCTTGGGATCCGTAATACAGCATATATGTGGACACAGTCTCCAAAGCGTGAGAAGTAACTGTGTTGTCCGTGTTTTTATTATAGTAAAGGCTGCAGGATGAAGGGTTCTTCGTTGCATTTCCAGGTATAGAACACATTAGCTTCTTGTTGATTAACAGTGGTAGAAAACAGAGTTGAGATGGACATAATGAAAAGGGGTCAACTCAACTCGCCAAAGAGATTCACGTGGCACTTAAAAAGTTACAGAGGGTATGATAACTGTCAGTGGCTCCTCTGGATGGCACGTCCTACAGCTGTGGTGCTTTAAGCGTTGCAGGATACACTGTGGTTAATGTCCCCGTTGATTCCAACACAGATGCTGTTGCTCACTTTATTGGGAGAGTCGCAGACTGTATCATTGAGCATGTCATACGTTGTTTCGTTAGGCATGTCGTCGGTGGTGTCGCTGGATGTGTCCTGGGCTCCGTCATTGGCTGGCTCTTTACGTGTGGGGGGACATGGTGACTTTCCTGTGGGCCTGTTCTGTGGTGAAGCAGAGTTGCATGAGAGACAGAGGAGAGAGGAGCAGGTCCAGAGGCCCTGGGTCATGCTGGAGGAGAAGAGCCTCCGACACGGGTGACAGAACTGGTAGAAGACCAGCATGAAGAAGATGGCGATGCCGTAGGCGAGCAGCAGCAGCAGCACCAGCAGCGGGGCACAGATGAAGTTGTACACCTCAGTTTTATACATGAACCACAGCAGGAGCAGCGAGGCGTTCTCCACAAAACGCAGCACGTAGTACACGGCCATGCGGTACCAGTTCTGGGACTTATTGATGAGGTCCGGGTCGCAGAGCTTCACCTGCACAGCGGACCAGCAGAACATGTTGATGCCGGCATAGAGGAAGGTGAGCAGGCAGAGCACGATGGTGGTTCCCACCCTGGTCAGAGTTTTCTCTATATTCTCAGGGAACGGAGAGTGGCTCAGCCAGAACAGGATCCAGGGGTAGAAGAAGAACACTATGAAGTTGAGCAGAACCACAGGGAGGATCCAGAGCTGCAGCACAGAGCTGAACAGAACCAGCACCACCACCCGACTGGCGATCTCAAAGCTCCTCCACAGGAAAATGCACATATAAGCCACGGGCCGGACGTCCACTTCATAGTCATCGTATTTGATCTTAATAGCCAGGATGTTGCAGCGCAGCGCTCCGTACACGATGGACAGGAGCGAGATCACCATCAGCGTGCCTGGTAGTGAAGAGACAGAAATATCAAGACAAAATATGAGTTTCACTGATTACCATTACATGCATCGTGTCAGAGGAGTAGCCTACTACTATTTTTGGTAAAAGATATGAAGAGATAATACCTGAAAATTACACAGATGTCTATAAATACATTTACAAATCTTCAGTGAGAAGTATTCAAAATATGATAATACAGTTTACAAACACACAAATTCAGCAGAAAACCTTTATACCATATTTTGACATGTTCGTTATTTTTATCACACCTTGTTATTGCACCTCTCTTATTTAGAGTCTATAGAGGTTTCTCAATACTCAAATTTCCCCTCCTCGACTCCTCGGTCCTCCGGTAGTGACCCGAAAATGAATTTCAGCGCGCTTCAGATGCGGCGGACAGACGGGTCTCAGTTGGTTTGGTGTCCTCTGCTTACTTTTAATACTTGTAAATACAACTTTTGGCCCGTCATTTCAATTCCCCATTTCAGCGACCAGAGAGAGGAGGGGGGGGGGATATATCCAGTCTCTGATTGTGTTACGTTATTATGAGAGTGCTCTCATACTTGTTTGATTCTGAAATTGTATATATTTATATAAATATATTTGTGTGTGTGTGTCCGCATCTGTAGCCTGTTATTGTCTCATTATACCGCACTCTCAATGAATCAAAGTAAATATATAAGTCGTCATGAACACATCTGTCCATCAGACAGAGGGCTGCTGTGCCTCCTGTCACCATTAATGGACGTCTCTTTAAAATGACCGCTCAGAGGAGAGGAGTTCTCATTTCTCTAACCACCTGCTGCTTCCCCTCCTCTCTCCTCGGTTCGCCTCCTCAGTCCTCCGCTCGCATCTCCTGTGGGCGGGACTAAGTCTCGAGGATAGGAGTCGAGGAGGGGACATTTAAGAATTGAGAAACCTCTTATGTATGCCTGTACATACAAAAAGGCAATGATTCTGTTTCAAGAAGTCTTTCAAATAAATGTTTATGGTCAAAAGACCTTAATTGTTTTCTCAGCTTGTCTTTACGTGATATATAAACAAGGTGTATTTAAATAACCATGCCCAGTGTATTCACTGAAGAACAAACAATCTCCTGATGGTAGAAACATTCACACTAGTTTTGCTTGTAGTCTCTCCTGTTTTTCACATTACAAGTCTTATTTCAGACACGTTTCCATTGTGACATATGGGGGAGAATATCACAAATGTATATATTCCAAAGATTAAGTAAAGTAAATATGAGACTCTAGTTGATTCAGTCTCTTTAGTATAACATTAACTCTTAATGTGTCCATGTGCAGAGAATAGGGATCGAAACAAAAAGAGACAATTTGGGACTAAAAGACTGAAACTGTGGATGAATGATTCTACTCATAAAAATAGCTTCATATTAGCTTTGGATAAACTAAAACAGGACTGTGGAGCACCATCACTGAAAACCCATCCTTAAGGTAGCTTTTACTTGCTCATATGACTAGGAGGAATGATTATAATGTACATATGGGCTTTGGTGACGCTCTCCTTTAAAAAGACCTTCAAGCTCCCATTCATCAAATGGAGGCCGTTAAACCGGTCAGCGTGAAATAGAAGTGTCAGACCGCCGGAGCAGAGGAAGTACGATTTATGTAATTATAACATATTTTATCTTGTCCTTGTTCGACGACCAGATGTCCTGGTGTGACTTTGTGTGAACTCTTACTAAATCTCTCAGAAGGGAAATAAAAGCTGGCTGCTACACAGAGTTGGACAGCCAGTTCTGCAGCGACTGGCTGAGGGAAACACCATATGTGCCATCCTAGGTATCAGAGAGGCGGTTACATAACACCACTTTGACTCATGAAAACACCATCCTCTTAAGTCAAACATGGCACTTAGCTGATCAGCCCACACGGTGAAGTGGATTGATGTAACGCATGGCCAGACAATTAAAATGTGACACATTAAAGTACACGCTTCCTCACCTCTCCCGATGGACACCCCCTGCTGCAGGGCGCAGATGTAGAGCTGCAGGGTGAGCTGGGGGGCCGACCCCAGGAAGGCCTGAATGACAGAGGAGCGGACGAAGGCTGCCCGGTGTGTGAACAGCTTCCCCTCCGCCTGCCCCACCTGCCGCTCCACCTCCTCAGACTGACCCCCGCGAGGTATCTGCTTCTTCCTGGTGATGCTGACATACGGCTCCTCCACACGGCCCACACTGCCATAAATACAGAACGCCTCCAGACACCTGCGGGAGCAACGCAAGAGGGAGAGCATTCAGAGAGGCAGAATGAACGAGGACACACAGCACAGCTCAGGATTAATAGTCCTCCTGCAGGTATTTATCATAAACCAGTGTAGGATAGAAAGGCACAAAGTCAATCATATAACTACAATGAGGGAAACATGATCTCATTAAAATAGTTATTCAAATGTATACATTTTTGAAAAATATGATAATACTACTGTTTACAAACAGACTTGTTCTTGAACCTCTCTTATTTAGAGTCGATGTATGCCTGTAAATCACAATAAAGTCAATAATTCTGTCTCAAAAAGTCTTTCAAATCCATTTTTATGGTCAACAGACATTCATTGTTTTCTTGTCTCTACTTGATATACAAACAACGTTTCTTTAAATAATCCTGCTCAGTGTATTCACTGAAGATTAGACAATTCCTTAGGGTTGAATCAACATGCAGGTGCTCCTAGAAACATTCACACTAGCGGTCATCTCTCCTCCTTTTCACGTTGGCCATTGGAAATCTTATTTCTAACATGTTGTGAACTATGGGGGAGAAATGTAATTTCTGACATTTAGGTAC